GGATATAGCTCGCTAGCAGCCTCGCACCGAGGACCTATCATCATCATCATTTACCCAGAATGCTTTGTGTGTAAATAAAATGACCCCGAACATGTTAAAATATATTTTTAAACTTTTAGTTAAAAAATGATAAAAACTAAACAGCCTACAGTATTTTTACAGTCTTTATTTTACAGTTAAAATAAATGTTTATCAAATAAAGTCTAATGTTACAACTAATCATGGATCCCTTAAGTTGTGTACAGTTGTGTATGTTTTAGAGAACTATTTTACGATTTTTTTCTAGTCTTACTCTTGACTCAGTCTCACCCTCCCTTAGTCTTGGTCTTGTCTCGGTCTCGATACACCATGGTCTTGATCTTAACATTGTCTCGGGTTAGGTAGTCATGAACAGACGGGACAGATAAACAAAGACATTGCTCATCTTTTTCTTCTTGTGTTTAGTTTGCGGTGTTTGCTCTCTGTCGTTTGTTTTGTTTTTGRTGTACTTTAGCAGGGGCGTTACAGTGAGCTAAACTGAGTAAAATATTCTGTTAAATCCTCGAAGAAAATCCACAGTTGCAATTTTTCTGTTGATAAACAGAAAAACATAACATGGAGATGAAAGAAAAAAACAACACAGTGGTGATAAAGAGTCATTATTTATGGCTACTGCTGCTGGCAGAAATTAGCTGCAGTAGAGCTGAAGAAGCCCTGCAGACTCATGTTAGATTTATGATTTCTACAACTTTTATTTCAAACATCAGCATGCAGTGCACACAATTATTCCAGACCAGGAACTACATCCTGATTATTGAATTTTCTGACACAAAAGGCTGAAGTTATTAAATAGCAATTTTGTACCATGCTAAAAATAAAACAGTCTTTCTGACAATACCTATTGGTAGTATCTGCTATACTTTAAGCAGAAACAACAAAAAATAATCAAATTTTGTATTTACAGATTATAATGAAATCAGCTGAAAATTGAGGACACAATAAAAATCAAGTACTTGTGCTCTCAAAACGTACAAACAAAAAGATAAAATAAAATAAAAAAAAGAAATATACTTCAGTAACTCTCTAATTTATTGAATACTTACCTGATTATAAATTCCCCTGTGCTTTTGCTTCATTTGTGATATTGTTATTATCAGTCTGCGATACCTTTTATTTAAACTGCTTATGAATCTTTAGAAAAATAATTATTGATGGTCGATATACAAAACCTGTTTTTTTGCCAATATGTATTTTTCATTTAACAAAAAGTAACAGTAACATAAAACAACATTAATAGCACTTAAAAAGTTTCTTTTTTTAATATATACAAAAATATTTCACTTTATAAAACTAAATTGTGTGCTATAACAGGCTGGTTGTAGCAGGCACTACTGCAGCTTTATTCTCCACCTTGGTAATTAATTGTGTTTTAGACATAGCTGATAGCTAATTTTTAAATAGTGGTTAATATTAGCTGATTAAAACCAGTTGGCCCATTAACTGGTCTATGCTTATATACCTCCCACTTTTCTTTTCTGCTGTGGATTTGTGTACAACTTGTTTATTTTTTTATTTAATCATATAGTACATACAGTATATACAGTACATACAGACATACATAGCTAGAATCACTAATTCCAACAACAACAAATAATTACTAAAATGTTAGTGGTGGGGACATAAATAACTAAAATATTCAGATTGTTTAAAGATTTAGACAAAATAGAAAATCACATCTGTACAATAATGTAACAGACTTGTTTCATGTTGTTTCTGTTTGGGTCTTTTTTTAGAGTATCAGCCACCTGAAGGTCTAGCTACTGAGTCAGCGGTGCCCAAAAAAAAAATTGAGGTCACTTGTTTACATTCATTTTTATCTTTAGAGAACTGCATAATAACTCAACATAAGTGCTGACAAACCTGCTGGTGTGCGTGACGATCTCATTTGTGTACATATCATTTTACCAAGAAAGGGCAGCCATTTTCTGTAGCTTTGGTTAGCTTTAAACCAAAGGAACTGTTATGATAGATTACATAACATGTTACAACACAGACTAGTATTTCATATGCCAGCTGACTTTCCCATATGCAAATGACAACCGAGTTTCTGGAGGAAATTCACTTTCGACATCATTTAACTGGTTGACTGATCAGCAGGGCCAATGTGTGTGAGTGTGTGTTTGCCTAGGGAGTGAATCAACTCTGATATGTCACAAATTTCCCTCTGGAAAAATAAAATGAGCACATGGTCTTTATTTCCTGTTATTTTGTCCACATAGAGAGAATAAAACTGTTGACTCTTAAAATAAATTAAAATACGATAATAAATATAGTATAGATCATGTCAGGTTATTCAACAACACCAGTGAACACAGAGTGGACAATGCTCTACAGCTGGTGGGAAGGTTGTGCTCTTCATTTTGAAGTAAATTACATAAAAACAACAAATGAGGACAAAAGGCRTGTGACTATGTGCACTGCAACAGAGAATGGACAATTTACCTCTTGGGTGAATATACAAAAGTAAAAAACAATACAGTGCATTCAGTGGTTTATCTAGTTTCAGTCTATGATGAACTCACCCATGACAATCAGCTGCATCTTCTTGCTGCCGATACCAGGAGCCTTTTTCACTTTACACTGGTAGGTGCCCGAGTCCGATGACTTCAGTCCTGTCAGATTGATAGAGGCGTCGCCTGTCTTTGGGTCACTTGAGCTGAAGTGAACTCGTCCCTTCATGGGGGTGTAGTAGTCTTCATATACCCTGTCACCTGAGTATAGGATCACCTGGTTGTATAAAAAAAAACATATATACATATATATATATTTATATTTCTATTTATATATATATTAAACTTAAAAGATAAAATAATATACAAGTCTTATTGAAAACAAATAGAAAATAAAACATTTTCCCCAAAAAGGGCCTTAGTTATTAAACCAACTAAATACTTATAACAAAGATAAGTCAGCTTGTCTTTTATTTCAAGATTGCTCTTCAACCTGGCAGTTTGTGTCATTTTGTCCTTTTTCATACAGAAGTGAAAAAGAGGTGGAATAAACAGAGCCTCTACTGTGGAGCTAAATCAACACCTGCTGTGTCAAAGCATGCCAGAGTCTGGGCTTTAAGGATATGCTTGGAAATAAAGACCAGGTTGAGCAAACGAGAACCCTTTGAGCCAGAATTATGTGATGGTGAAGAAAAGTATAACAATAAGAGTAAGGTGGGTGTAAGGAGTACAAAGGATAAAAAGAGTTCTGATTCTCTTTCATAGTCACTGTCATGTTTTTGCACATTGCCATGGAGACTAGTATAAGTAAGCTTTTTCCTGCTACAATCACTACCAGAACAGCAACACCTTTGAGTGGAGCACAAGAGTGAAAAACCTTCACATGATGAAAGAAAAACAATTAATCCATAAGAGAGCCATAAGATTCAGAAAAGTAAACCTAAAAATAAAGACAGATGTGTAAAGCATTTGTGCGCTACTTTTGTCGAAGAAAACAAAAAAAACAAAACACAAACTCAGATGTGACATGTGCCGGCTAAATGAATACAGGCTGCAGTGCAAAGCAAGCTAAAATACTGATTTTTGCTAACTGAAACTTGTGTTCAGATGGGGCCATAAAAGTACATCTAGCAGTTCTGGTAATTAAAATAGTATATAGTCTTCCTCATCCATCTTTAAATAGAAGTTTTATAAAAAGTGTGTCTTCATAAATAATTCTTTGTCTTTTAATTCTTTTAATTTTCTCTGAAACTAAGCTCCCTCTGGGAAATCCCTTCATATAATGTTTGGCACCACTGGGAAACTAAAGAACTCCCTGTTTGAAATATTGGACTGGAAGTCCGGATGACAATGTCTTCATTTTTTAATTTACTTATAAAAATTTAATAATTTCTTAAAAAACATAAATTTTATAAACAATAAAATACAAATCATAAATTAAATAAAAGGCAGCAGCAGAAGACAAAAATCTTATAATATCTGCCCCTTTACCAGACGGAGTATTAGGGCCACACAACGAGATTGTTTTTATTATTATTATTAGGAGAATAAAGTCATAATATTACGCTAATAAAGTCATAATTTTACAAGAATAAAGTCGTAATATTACAAGATTAAAGCTATAATTTATGTGAATAAAGGTGTAGAAAAAGTCATAATCTTACATGACGTGTCCATTTTCCGTTCCTTGGTTCCTCCTTATTTTCCTCACACCTTCTGTGGACAGCCATGTTTATAAAGTAGTCCGTGATGACTTGGGTCACTGTTAGATTAATATGCTTTCATCCAGATTAGCTACGTCCCGACTACATCTGTCAATGCATGCTTCAGTTTTTCATATAGTCGTTTGCACAATTTCCAAGTTCTGCTGCTGAYAATTTGATGCTAATTGCTAAAAGATTTACTATTTATTTTAATACTAAAGAAGAACTTGACAAGTTGCTCAACATTCCTCATTTTAATGCATTGGTAACCACATGCTTTTTCGTGTAAAGGTTTTAATTTTAGAATATTATAACTTTAATCTCATAATATTACAACTTTATTCTCATAATATTATGACTAATCTCATAATTTTTCGACTTTTTCTCATAATATTATGACTTGATTCTTGTAATTTAAAAAAACATCTTGTTGTGTGGCCCTAATACTCCGTCGTACTTTACATTATTCCAAAAAAAAAAAAAACTACAAGGTTTTCAAATCAATATTCTCTAAAACAAAATTAGCTTGTTGTCAGGTCATGTGATATACTGTATTTCCAAATTTCAACAAACTATAGATGGATGCTAGTCACTCTAGTCATGTTTTCCCTGACTTCAGGGCTCGCTGAAGTGTAGTTAATTAAAAAAAATACAAATAAAAAAGAGCATATAAGAAAGAAACTTTTGTGACTTGATGGTCCTGAGAAGCTGAAGAGGGCAGATGTAGAATAAAAATGCAGTTTTAGTTTTACAGACCTGCTGCTTCCAACATAAACTACATGGGTTGGGTGAAAGTTATACCAACAAGGTTAGGTATAGTTCATGTTTTGCTTCATGTGAGGTCCAATATTTGCAGAGAAAAACACTAAGCTAAAAAAAAAACTAAGACAAAACAGTTGTCGTATTCAACAACAATATCACTCACTTAAATAAAAACAGATGAAACAACAGCAGGATTAGGAACGAGCAGTTAAAATTGCTTTTATTTTGCTTCTGAGTTTAAATTAATTTGCTGATTCAAATGGTCTTTTTACTTAAAAGGTCTTTTCAAGCCCTACTTTGTGAATATTAGTTCTAAATAAAACCAATGATTTTTAATGTAATTGTCAAAAGTGTAATCAAACATTTTGTAGAAAATTTGAAAGTGTTTTTATACAAAGTTGTCCAGCTTTCATTTCTATAGAAAACTAGTTTCCAGTGTTACAAGCTAAGAGAGCTTACACTGAGCACTGGGGTCACAGTATACTTAAACCATAAAATTCCACATTGCTCTCCGGGGAGGAAAGTGGATCCTAGTAACTTCACTGGAGATCACTGCAACAGCAGGAATAACAGTTGTGAACACAAAAGAAAGGAAATTAAATTGCCCCAAGGTGAGCCAGACAAGAACTCACATGAGCTTAGCCACTTCACAGACAAACAGATGGGAATGCTTAGACATATGCACACCTCAAGCCAAAAACAAAACAAAACAAAACAAAACAAAACAAAACTGCACAATAACCTTGAAAATTATGATCCAGGTGGTTGGGGGTGGGGGGATCCCATAAAGAGTCTGATAAAAGAACATAAAAAGAGCAAATGACAGGGCAAGCTAGCAGGGCAGGGACAAGACTGAAGAGCACTGCTGTCTGTGTGCTGCATTTCATAACAGGTAGTGCACTCAGCGGTACCACTGCGGCTTGGCATGGCCTTTTTAGTGAAAAGATTACACTCTAGAGGTTAAAGACCTTTTCTGACCAACAATGGTTTTATTGGACACGCTTCAAGATGACATCACTGTCATGTGATGCTTCAGCTTAGAGAGTTTAGGGTAAGAGGTGACGCTTATTTGAAAGGCAAAGCAGAGAGCTGTGATACTCCAAACAACCTACAGAGCTTTGTGAGAGTAGCATGGAATGAGTCAAGGTCATGCTGACACAAAAAAATATTTCAGCTCTGTAATGCAGTCAAGGTTAACACGAATATGTAAAAGCATTCATGGCCATGAAAATCTGAAAACAATTTTTACCAAACCTTGTCATGGCTTTACATCTAAATCCTTCAGCAAACACTGAACATTCATGTTGCAATAACAGTAAACACAAACGCCCTGCTGTCGCACCGAAGGACAAAAGAGATATGTGTAACCCAGGATAAAGTAATGAATTTTTTCAAGCAATTTCATCTGCTGTTCACTTTCTCTGTATGGCTGAGTTTGGTGACATACTAAAAGCAAACTCTGCTTTCAGCTAATCTGTAGCCAGGCAGTGAGAGCAAAATGCAAATGACTGTTAGTGTAGGCATGTCTGGCATCTCTTGTTCAAACCCAACAATGCAACATAAATTAGTTATGCCTCACAGACCACAAAAAGATACTGATGATAAGTAGGATATGCGAGCCAAAGGGCGTCATTGGTTCCCCATAGACACTGAGCTGAATAGATAATGTACCACATAATAATGGCATAATAATGTGTTTTCCTACATTAGATAATGAGGTCTGACTTTTGATTGTTGTATCAAATTAAAGAAAATATTACAAGCTTCTGTCCGGTCATTTTTTATGAGATACTCTAAACAACTTTTCTTTGCATTAAAAACAAACCAATAAAACTTAGTATATGGCACTGTGAGCCAATCCTCCTGACTAAACATATATTCTACACCAGTGTGTTTTTCTTTAAAGGCAGCTGAAAATTAGAACATATGAAGTAAAATGAGCAAAGACTCACTATGGTTTTTGAGCATGTGGGAGCCTCTGGCAATAAAGTTTCATAAACATTTTTATTTCTTTGCCTGATGTAGTAGTTTAGGTCCAGTCTGACTGGTCTAATCCTGTCGAATCCTGTCAAATACATTAAAAGCCAATTGGAATTAATATGGCACTAATTGCAAAGAATCCAGTGCGTGTATGACTACATGTTGGTTAAAGGCAACAAGAATGTGAGCATGTGATTATAATGAGCAGAATCTGATAGGTCAAGGAGAACAAATGTGTTCACAGAAAGATTTAAGTTCTGTCTGTCTGAGAACATACAGTGTGTGAACACTGGCCAACAAAAAATAGACAAAAATTTAAATAAAAGATAAAAATCGTTTTACATTTTTAAACTGTATTGTATTTCATATGTATTTCTACATATGTAAAAGGCTGCAACAACTTATATTTCATTCAAAGACCTGTTTCAATTTTTTGAGTTTTGGACCCACTCGTGAMCATTTTTGGTCATTTTGTTGTTTGAAATTACAAAACCCATTTTCACATTAGCACATTACTTTTTAGTTTTTTGATGGTCATATTATGTAAGATAGGAAATACATTGGATTAGTTTCAAATTCCCAGGTTTCACAAACCATTATTTTATTTCTTTATTCATCTTTATTTAACAAGGCAAATCCTGCTGAGATCACAGATCACTTTTGCAAAGGAGGCCTGAGCCTGAAGGCAGTCTATTRTACAGGTTTGTAGTCTGTGGGGGAAACCCGGAGAAAACCAAACCAAACTCTGCACAGAACGAGCCCTGGACCGAACCAGGGATCGAACCCAGGACCTTCTTGCTGTGAGGCATTAGTGCTAACCACTGAGCCATCATGCTGCCCAAACTGTACTGCATTAACACATGATGGCAGACTGAAGAAGGTGATGTAAACCATAAGAGCTCAGAACACAGACATGTACAAAATTACTGGACTCCATAGTGAAAGCCAGAAGTTGAAGCTGGAGTCATCACAGCGACCCCACATAATAATGCAACTACAAGTTTTAAGTCATGTCCCTCCATGTAAATAAATTATACTTTGCTCTTAGTAAAAATAAAATGATTAGAACTCAGAAATATTTTATTTTTTCCTCAGTTGTTGATTTTTTTTAGTTTTAAGGTTTTCACGGTTCTTCCATTGCAGCTGTAATTGGGAGAGTGGCAAGTAGGCGAGACTTAAAACCATACACTGATAATGTGCAGATACTGGCAGAGATGGTGTCATGTCAAATGACAGAACTGTCTAAAACTGTTTGTTTAGGTTTTTCCCTCTCTCTTATCACTGTAGATAACATTATTTGATTCATTTAATTTACCTGGTTCAGACAGCAGGGGGCTGTAAATCTTGCTTAGTGGCACTGATTAGGTGAGTAGAGAGTAGAGCAGGTGTTTTCTTTGTTAAGAGTCAATGCACGGGGAGAAGAGTAGACATGCACCGGTGAGTAAAAAACCTCAATTCTAGTGAAATTAATTGCTCAAACTGTTGAGAATTGGAATAGTTCTTTAAATTTAAGTTGTATTTGTTGTCAGAGGTGTTTGTAGTGCACAGGCACGGTCTGTATATTAGACAGCCCTGCTAAAGTTTAAGTTAATCTGATGCTGCTTTAAGTTTGTTTGTTCATCTCAAAAAATGAGTGATCCTGATCCTACATATCGATTAAACCATAAATTTACTGTCTAAAATTGATGATTAAAGTACTTTATTTAATTTAATAATTTAATTCTTATTTAATTTTAACTTGTGATTGATCTTTATGGCATTAGGCCTGTTTAGGTTTGAAAGTAAAATAAGTGATTATTTGAAGTAAAGTTGGTAATAGGAGATTTGACCAGCAGAAAGTCCAAGTTTAGCTTTCATTGTTTAGAATGCTGGTTGTGTTTTCTTCAGTAAATAACCAACTGTTTAATTTACAAACATAAATTAAATTAAATTGATGATTTACCAATCGTTATGAACTTTACCAATATAGCAGAGTAAAACTCTTATGAATTAATGTTTTTCATTGAGATTCAGTTAAAAACTATTTTCTTTTGTTTGTCACAAGGTTTTCAACCTACTGCTGATGCTGCAGATGATGATTCTGCGCTGCACATATCATCCTTGAATCAAATTAATAAAAGATGATAAGAAGAGTTGAAACAATGTCTACTTCCTTCTCGATCCTCTCAAGTCGGATCAGCATTGGTGTATAAAGACTTGACAGATGGGGACTCGTGACTCGGACTTGGACTTGAGTCGCACTGAAGTCCCTACTATTAGAGGCTTGGTCTTGACTTGGACTTGTGGTTTGAGACTCGTGAACAATGCAAGTCTTTTCACTGCCCGGCTCACGATTCTCACTCCCTCAATACACATCCATGCTCCGCTCCTTTGAGAACAAATACACAAAGTTTTAAGAGCAAAGACATTTACTCCTGCTCTCAAATTGAAAATATAAGCTCTTGATTAAAGTCAGAATCATTCTTCCATTTACTCCGCTCCCCATCACCTGAGAATGGGAGAGGCCAGCGCTGTCCAATGTTAATGATGCATTCAGTATGTGACAAACAGAGCTTTAGTATAGCAGGTACGTTGCAGTAGGCAGCTCCGCTGCCATTCATTATAAGCTTTGCTTACAGAGACTTTATTTAACACCATGACAAGAGACTGGCAAAATGCAAAGTGTGTGGAGTCCAAATCCAAAATTTGTTTTTGTGTTGACTTGTGCAGCCCTTTTACTTTGAGGATTCTACTTCAACATCTTCACTGACATGCTTTTATGCATTTAAAAATGTATTTTCTGGTATTTTATTGTAAAATCAGCAGCAGACTTGTTGGATTTGTTCTTTGTCAATGGCAAGATATAATTACAGTATGCTTTTGTAAGACAAGTGCAAAATACAGTTAACAATACTCTAAATGTTTGATTGTTATTTCAACCTTAACCTTATCTGTATTTTTAAAACAGTATTATGTTTTAATAGTATTATTAAAACATTATATGTTTCAATATTTTATTAAAATATAGTATTATAGAATATAATCTAATATAGTTAGAATACCTTTGATCAAACTGCCAGTTAAGTACCGTAATACATGCAACTAGACATGAACTTGAGGTCAAGAGACTTGAGACTTGGCTTGGATTTTTGGTCAAAGACTTGGACTTGACTTGGACTTGGAGCCAAAGACTGGAGACTTGACTTGGACTTGCAAACAAAGACTTGCACACATCTCTGGATGCTGGTCCCAAAAATATAACAAGGCAGCTTCCATAAAGTGGGAGAAGGCGGAGGTAGTTGGCCTAGAGTTTTCTAGAACAGGAGGTAGACTCATAGAAAGCAGTCTACCTCCTGAAATAACTACTCCTAGGTTTAATGTTTTGAAAAGAGTTTAAATGAAATAACTAAAAAACTAATGTTAAAAAAATTGACAGATTATGCTTTTACCAAAGAAAAAAATTATTTGCAGGTAAGAAGCTAAAAAGGTGATTTTTGACTTAATGAGATGCAGTTCAGTCAGCATCTAAAATAATGAATACAAGAATCTTCATTTGGACTTAAGAAACAAAGGTGAGTAGCGCAAACAGTACTCTGCTATCCTCCATTGTTACTGTTTATCTACTCTCACAAGCGAAGAGAAACTAATGACCGCAGCCATCCACACAATTTCACACTGTGGAGTGTTCCCCGCATTTTATTTCACCTCCAGCAAAACAAGCTGATAATTGAGTTGCTACAATGACTGAGTTAAGGAGTTTTAAAGTCCTGACATACAAACTGGTTTATTTCTGCTATTGGCAAGTTTGATAAAAACGTCCATCTTATTTAGATTAGGAAAAATTAAGTAAGTACCAACTAACGGAAAGTAGAACTTATTTGTGTCAAGTGAAAAGTAAACAGTGAAGAACATTGTCACATACCACTTTATCCATGTTCTGGTTGTCAGCAGCTACCAAGCTCCATTCAATATCCAGTGGTCCAGTATCCTCTGCAGCTAGGGTGAACATACACTCCAGCTTTACACTCTGACCACTAGCCTTGTTTATGGGTGTCGTGCCTGTAGACGTGATCACCAAACCTGAAGCCAGGGCTAGAGGAAAAGATGCAAAGAAAATATATAAATGAAAAGGTTTCAAYGTGCAGAATGACAGATATACAACAATCACAAGTTTTCAGCAGACTTTTAACCACCATGTGTAAAACAATCTGCCTGTATTTCTACTGAACTACACATCTGACAGATGACAATCGTCTACAGAATCATTTTATAAATGGAAACTGCTCACACAAAACAAGAGAAACTATTCACAGATAATCTAATAGGATGTGTCCACATGGTTATTTTTTCTCTCTTTTTATATTCTGACAGAAAATCTCTGATAAAGTGATGAGGTTTTTCTTTTTGAAAGCTCCCTCATTTATTTGAGAATTGACTCAACAGCTCAAAATAAGCTTGCATCTTGCACAGTGAAAAAAACTCTCAGCAAAACTCTGTGCTCGACAATCTAATCCCGCATGGCCTTCTCTGCCTCAGTGGTGATAGTTGATTTCTGACAGAGCAATTTGAAACAGACACATTCAGTTAGACGTAAAGACAACAATAATCCCAATGCCTTGCTGAAGATAGCTCTCAAATAAAGGACTGGAGGCAGTCTTTTTTTATTCTTTCTGCAGATTTATGTTCTCATGAGAACAAAATACAAAGACATTAAACTTAAGGAAATCAGGATTAAAAGTCACGAAATTGCACTAAAACAGCTTGAAATCTTGTCAATCTGTAAATTCTTTACACTAGTTTCATTATTTTCAGTGCAAAACACAAAGCAGATGTGGGAAAAATGGAGTTATTAAATGTTACTATTAAATATTAAATTACATCTGACAACCTCCCTCATTCCAAACAACAGGCTGGTGGAGATTATTTTAAAAAAACAAAATTATTGTTAATATTTTTGCTAAGAAAAAAAGCAATAAACTGCTGTTACAGAAGTTGCACCAAACACTTAGCTGTAATTATCTAACAACAAAAGCACCTTTTTTATTTAGAAACATCAAAGCCATGACATTTTCATTTACTTCCATCTGCTTCTCATTTAGCTACAATAACACTGCTGGAAAGCACAGACTCTAATGTGTAAAGATAATTAAGGAAACAGAGGCCAAAACAACTATAAACACTTTTGTTTACAAGAAACTTGCATGTTTCTCATCCCAGGGATTTTTTTCTATTGTTTATCATGAAGCTTTCATTATTATGGGGGTCATATTGTTTTCATACTGTTTGTTTGTTTAAGGGATTTTTGGTCAATCGTATCATAGAAACAGCTACACCGACATGAAATTTGGCAGGAATTTGTCTGACCTACACTGCTAGCCAATGGTTTTATAATAGACCCCATATTTGAGGAGGGGGATCCATCTAAATTGGGGATGTCTGGATTTACAAAAATGATTATAACTCAAAAACTATTCAACCCAACATAGAAGCTTCAGACTTTTTTATGTTGTTTAGCTCTGATGACGGGCTATTCATTGAGCCCACCAATAAGCACCCCCCCACCTCCCTGGACCCCCAACCAAAACAAATCTATTCCGGTGACTTCTGAGTTCTGGTGCATTGGTGCTTTGCATATGTTCAGGGGTCATATAWGTAACCACTATGCCAGGGGTGCCCAAACATTTACCCCGAGAGGGCCAAAATGAAAATCTATCTGGGGATGCGGGCCAAACACAGTAATAAAATACATAAAATACAAATACTTTTAGGTAAAGTCCTTTATTTTTAACAATTAGGCTTGGAGCCAGTACGGTGGCCCACTTTTGTTTTAGTCTGTTCACTTGGAGAAAGTCTGCCATAATTCGCACAAGCAGCAAAGTCTCATGGGACATTTTATAAATTGATAAAATATTTGTATTTGTGGTCTTATAAAGTGTGCAAGTCTACATGTGTGGTTAAGTCTAATCTAAAAGTCTATTGTTGTTACTTGTATTTCATGTTTAATCATAAAATATCAAAGATAAAAGTCAGCACCATAAGTGAAAACTATCTGCACTACAGCCTCTTACAGCCTCTTTATATGGTCTTTGGGCCAATGAATAAAATGACTAAGTGGAAATACTGTGTTTCTGCAAAGTATGACAGGTTACAACCAACTATGGTAACTGCTGGTGGACCAAAKAAAATGGCTTGGTGGGCCAAATGTGGCCCGCGGACCCCACTTTGGGCTCCTCTGAGCTATACAGCATCTAGTTCAACAAATGAAAAATCATACAATTATGCAAACAAACAACAGGAAAAATGTTTATTATGTACAAGTGATACTCCTATCTGAAAGTGTGATATCTCATCACAAATCTGGAACCAAGTATATGCAAACCACAGCATTAGGTGGGTAAAAAATATTCCTTTTTTAGTAATTATGAAAAAATGAMAGTCATCTTTACTGTTTCAATTTCTAAATCTGCCCATCAGAGTACCAAGGTTCCATCCCATCAGCTCTGTTTCAGCTTCAAGCTGCGATACAGTCAAATAACGCATACCACATGAACTAACACTTAAGGCACGTCCACTCTGTTAAAACTTTGAGCCTTTAAGGATTTGATGTGGTCACAAAGCGCAAGTGTTTTTATTTCCTGGCTGCTGGTGATGCAGCTGATTGTTTGAGTCCACAGATCCTGACAGACGCCCTTGATGGGAGAGATCCATCGCCTTCAGCAGGAGCAGGAGGAACGGGGAGCAAAACAGAGAAAACAGAGATATGTGTCTATCACTGTCAAAACAGATATTCAGCTTGTCATCCACATGAAGGAAAGCTGTGTCAATTCATGATGCACTCAGAGAAACCAGGACATTATTCACAGTTGTTTAGAGAAGGGAGAAAATTGTGTTCTGAGAGAAAAAGAAAGTATTCAGCCGAAACAGCTTCTAAGAGTGACTGATATGTGGTAGGTGATAAAAGACTGGTGTTGATAGATCGGTTAAATCAGAGACAGAACTCGAAGGTTGTGTGCATTGTTTCATTCAGCAGCGTGAAATTAGAAAAAGGTTCTACTTCACGGTTTCATCTCTTCAGTGGATAAACTTACTTATGCGCCCGAGTGTTTCAGTGCACATGTACAGATTTATGGAGGACTGAACCTCTCATAWTTGGAAATAAATGTAGAAAAATATAAATGGCTTGAAAAACTAAACAGATGGCTTAATAAAATAATTAATGTGGCAAATTTAGCAACCAAGCAATAAAAAGATACTAACTCAGCCTATTTATTTGATTAAACAGTGCAACTTTAATCATTATTTATCATTTTAAACAGTATTAATT